TTAGTTAAACTTCATTGGGGGTAAATGCTATAAACAGTAAGCTCCCGCCTTCGTAAAGGAACCTTTACCCCTCATGTACTTTTTCTCACAGCGACCTCCGAGGATTATGCTTGACAACAATACCATCGCGACTATTAAAGTTATACAGACGAGAATGCCATTATTTTACATGGATGCAGACAAGAAAGGAAAGCGCAAAGGTCTGTTCTAGGAAAAGAGACGACACGAAACCTTTATCTTCACATGAAAATATATAGACCCTCTAAATATCAGGATTTAGATTTTTAGAGGAATGTATTTTTAATTTCTTCAGTGATAAATATGTAAGTTCACGTAAACAGGCCCCAGTGCGAGTTTTGACACACCGTTACAAACCAACACTCCTGACAAAAGAAACTCGAAATTCCTTTTCTCGCACGTAGCTACAGGACTGCCACAGCGTGTCCATAGGCTCCCTGTTTTCATGCATGACTGTATACCTTTAAAACGTGCCCTGCACGATGCATCCGCTGTCGATTCCATCGCACCTGCCGACAGGACAGGGGGTAGACGATGCGCATCTAGCTAGAACCTTATAAGCCCGACTAGTATGGCACGCCAAAGTGGAATTTACCAAACCCTGCACAGCAACCATGATCCATTACACAATTCACAACATTCTTTTATTGCGGAGTAACACACACCCTTCTACATGAAAAATATAACATTTTTTAAACCATGCGCCAAGGACGGGAAGAGATGGCAAAACGACTAAACATTATAAAAGAACTTGGCGTGTACTTTTCAAGTGAATTTTGAGAAATAGTTTTGAAAGTGCTGATATATTTTTGGCAGAGTGGCGCATCTGTTTAAACGTTGACATGTATTTTTCACACTAGTCTGTACAAATATTTTAGAAAATAATGAAATCTTGTTTTAGCAGGTAAAAGTCTTTTCTGAAATGCTGACCTTTTAGTCTGATGTAAATCTTGACTGATGTTATTTTTTTTTACTAATGCATACATTTTCGTTAGGTTGGCACAACCGGTTTTTAAATGTTGACAAGTGATTTGGTACACGCTTTCAATTAGTGAACGTGAGAAATATTGACTTTATGTCACTATTTTAACAAGTTGAACGGTAAGATGTTAGGCCTACTGTACATTTCTTAGAACTTGTGAATATTTTAAAATTGACAGTTGCAATACAGGGTTGAATAAGCTCCGCTTGGGCGTGCCATACACCGAGGCTTCATCGGCTCTCTGATCGATGGTTACGCCTGCTGTATTTTGCTGCAGGAACGTCCACGGGAGAAACGCCGGTTTGTAATTTACTTTAAAGGGGCACACGCGTTGAAAGTTACGCAGAGGTAAGTTGCGAACTTTTTGCGCAATGAAAAGCAACGACTATAGGTTATCGGTGGATGTTTCATAGTTTGAATATTAGATTAGTTGGATACGACGGAGACCAGTGTTTAAATCGAAAACCGGCCGTGTCTGAGCAGCAAGGCTAAACATTTGAAGAAGTTTTGAAAGAACAGCTGTCCGAGGCTTTATTGCGTGCTTGGAGGCCTTGGAGGGCTCAGCAGACGTGATCCATTTATACATGCGAGCTAGTGAAAATTCACGAGAGACATTTTGATCTGGAGTTCACTTGCCGACGGAAGGGTTCCTTTCCGCTGAGCGATCCCGGCGGGTACATGACAGGCGGGCCCGCTATCGAATCGACACACAAACAACCCGCTCGACTGGTCTTCTCGGTTCGTGCGGAAGTTTCGCGAGTCGTGATTATGGGGGTGGTCGCTTCGTGCGCTGCGTGAGAATTCGCTTCATGCACGAGGGAATTTTCCGGGGTAAACAGCGCAGCGGAGCCTCAAACCGAATTCTGAATGTTTTCACTGGGAAAGTCCGTGAGTTCGTGTCTGTTGGACGGCAGGCTGTTAAAAATAAAAGCTGACGTGTTTTTCGTGCGGGCTCCAAGTTTATGTTTAACCCAGACGAACGTAAGTTGGTCAATTTTGGCGCGGAATTTCTGCGGGAGTAGGGTCACGAGCCTAGCTAGATGCCGACAAGCGCACACGTTCCGGAGTTAGTGACATCCAGATACGCGCTCGATAATGAAAAAGAAGGGAAAGAAACCCCAAACACCTGGCGCTTCTACCAACATCATCTGTGTAAACATGCGCCCATCGTGCCCAGACACGTGCACTGAATGGTGGCCGCAGGATTGTGCGGCTATGGGAATAGCCATAAAGTCTCTTTGGAACAAAACAATACGGCAAATCGGCATAAGTTGCGACTGCAACTGAGGCTAGGACTTAATGGTTCCCTTCAAACTCTGATCTTTACATCTGGCGGTTTCTCGTGGTTGAAAACTTTGAAGCACCAGTTAGAAAGGCTGGTTGTGGGTCTCGTCAAGTAAAAACAAGGCTTCTGTATATGCACAAAATAAAAAAAACACTTGAACAAAAGACCTAATTTCTTCCAGTTATGATTGTCTGTATATCCATAAAAACGAAAATGCAGTGTTCCCTTGGCGCCAATGGATACGTGTTGGATTCTGTCAGACTACGTCCGAATGCGATGCATGGTCTGCGGTTAGAACAAAAACACACGTGTGCCAATATTAAAGTTCAAGACCCTCGCTAGTACGGTGAATGCACTGCTTCTCATAGACGCATGTGCTTGTGACAGTAGCAGACGAGGCCTTTGAAATTTCGGCTCGTAGCCGACAATTGAATCTGTAAAGTGCGTCTAGACTATAAGTTAACGAATCAAAAATCGAATGAGGTTACCACCGCCAGAAATGGGCAAAAAATTTCAAGCGAAGCCATCATTAGAAAAGAAAGTTTCGGAAGTGGTAAATGAAACTAAAAAATTTGCATTCTCCATGAACTGACTAAACGAACAACGTTATGAATTTACCGAACACAAAACAGTTACCGAAGCAATCTTCCCAATCTGTCAATTCTCAAGGGATATCCGGCTGACTGCAAAAAAGCCATTCCACAGCGTCAGACTCCTGCAGCGGGGGTCTTCGCGCGCAAACAAATTAGAATTTCTCCGCGTTGTTTTTAACTCCTCGCACACGCATCTCCCGCATCCTTGCCCACGGAGCTTTCTGACTCCCGCCGAAAAAAAGAGAGAAAGACAGATTGAAGAGGGGAAAAAACCCCACATCCGCCGAAACCTCACGAGAACTCGATTGCTACGTGCCTTGATTTATGCATCCGTGCTGGAGCAATTTCAAAATGTAAACCGTTCGCACTGGCCGGGTCCAGCGTTTTTTCCCGAGCAGGCGCGACCCCTGTGATTACACATCAAGCACGTAGCGTGTGCCGAGAGCGTAGCGTGTCGGTAATTACGTCCCTCCGGGGAGAAAGAGAGAAAGAGGAACGGCGGGACCGAGACTCACGGTGGCCCTATCGCCAGAGCACAGGCACCGCAGGTCCGATCCAGTGCGCGGTTGTTGGTACGGTATCACCTTCTTTCCATCTGATAACAACTGAATCGCCATGGGCGCTTATTATTCAAATAAGCAAACCATTATCGACCTTTTCCTGGCTTCCCTTTCTTTAAAGAGGCCGGCATTCGCACACTGTTTATATCACTTTAATCAAACTCAGTAAAAGCCAAGTTAACTCACAGATAAAACGACGTTACACCAATTCTACCACATTAATGTACAATTGAATTGCTAAATGAATTTTTTTAATATTCAAAATAATTAGGGCATTATAATTAGACTCGACTTAATATCAAAACTTCAAGTAAAGATTCTGCATCCAACTGACCGATCTCTCTGATAACGCTTCTATTTCCGACATAATCGAGATAGCTTATTAAAAAGAACGCCAGATGGTGCTGGTCACTGCTTGCATGAATACGATATTCACGAAGGGAACATTGTCGCGTTCCTCTACGAAGATCACAAACAACGCGTGACCCCAACCATGGAGGAACCCAACTGAATGTGACGCGTGACCGCTTAACCCCGCTTTCCACAGAAAAGGAAAAAAAAAGGCAAACTACAGAATTGACGGTAACACGTCGTTAGAGTGGCAGGGAAAAGCACCTTTACTATCGCCCCAAATACTCTTGTCTTATTAAGAGTGCATGGAATGTTAATTAAAGGTACTTTTTTGTGCGGGACCGGAGGCATGGGTACGGTTTACTGGACCAAAGGTGGCTGTCTGTACCTTACCACAAAACAAACTGATTACGGCTGATAGCGATGTACGATATACGTAAAAAATGAACAACGATGATAAACCTTCAGCCGTGCTTCCGAAATGATGCACCTTTGATCTGGATCCTCGTAGAGTGGTTAATGGCGAAGCAAGGTCACAGCAACCGCAACCGTCGCATTTGCCGGCGTCTTCTGGCCATTTCTTAAAACTTGGTATCGTTCCGGCCTGGATTTTCAAGATTTTAAAGCTGCTTTCCCTCGACACAGGTAGACTCTAAATTGTTCCTTGTTGTGAAGAAAGAGCTTTAGTCAGGGTTGAACGATCGGGAATATGATTCCTGCTGGTTTCTGAGAAGCCGATGTCTAAGAAAAAGCATTTATGTCATCTAACGGAATACACAGTGCATTAATAACCACACAGGGCATACTGCGAACAGAGTTTCTAAACAAGTCCACTTACCGATAACGGTTTTCTTTGATTGGCAGTTAACTAAAAACTAACTTCACCTGATTGTCTGGTTTTCCCCCTGAACTATACTGCTTACTTCAAAGGCTAAAAGACAAAATGTAAGGAATTTCGAAGGCTGTTTTTAGGCATTACGGTACCTTTACTGCAAACTATGCTTGTGTTGGTATACATCAACCGGTGGAAGTAAAAATACATGCTGTCAAATAACAACTCAAATAAGATATCCAAAGCTAAAACAGCATGGCTGTTCCATTTTAAAGGTACGCTACATTTCCCAAGTTTACGATTTTGCAACTGCGCATAAAAGAGAAATATTAAGTCAGAAATTCAAGGGGAAAAGACAGTAAATTTATCAACATTTTACCTTTCGTTGTGCGTTGTTAACGGTGCGCTTCCCCCATACAAAGTAGTGGCATTTAACCTGACGTAAGTAAGAAGTAGGAGAACCTAGCTCACTTAAAGTTTGCCAAAAGAACCACTGAAGTTACGGAGAGTTAGGTATTATTGGTGCATCGTTTTTAGAAAACCATGTAACGTTATTGTAAATGTTTGAACAATTAGTCTCTCTTGCACACCGTTCAGGACATTCGGCGAGATGTTCGGTGAAAGATAGCTATTTTTGCGAGGATAATATCAAACCTTCAGATCTTCAGCACACTTTAGATATTTCATGGTCGCCAGATTTTTCTCCCAGCCCACCTAAGTCTGCTTCTCACGAGACCGTATCGATACAGATCCTGACTATTCGTTATCTAAATGTTATCAAAACAACGACAAGTTTTTCCCCTTTTCCTTCACATTATTTAGATACACGCACATATGATATTTTATCGTCCCAGAAGTATTTCTAAACCACTTTCAATAATGTATCAAGCCTCCATGTTAACATTCTGCTTTCAAAAATAGAATAAACTATAATTCCATACAGACAGGCTTATTATCATTAAATTGCAAAATACGGAATTTATAAAAAAATCTAAACTAAAAAACACAAAAACGGTGTGGTCCATGGCACTGTCGTCTGAAAGGCAAAAATCTTTCATTTCCCCTCCATCCTCCGATCGATAAAAATTGACATTATTTTTGGTACTGCGGAGATCTCGGCCGTTGTCACGTAATTTCTTCCCCGACCATGCCCTAAATTGACCCAAGAGGAACGAGCGCTTTCCCCCGCTCCTGCCTTTAATTTCTGGCGTCATGTCCGACGAATTGCTTCGTGGTTTATGTCTTGCGTGCGTCGTCAAATATAAATTAAATTGCCGGGAATCTTTGCGCGTCACGGCCTCCTTGCTCGGCCTCGTCCACGCGGACAAAGCCGCTCTTAAAGGGGCACTGCCACTCAGGCAGCCGTCGGTACATTGTCAATTTAATCAGTACGGTCCCGGCTTACGATACAATAGGACAGGCCATGCTGTGTCTTTAAGTAGAGGTACATTTCTGCAGTTATCGGCGGTAGGTCGTGGGTTGGAGTCCAGCCTTGCTACAGTAGTCTTGCCCCTCTTCCTCTCTAACAGTATGAACGTGATCATTCTAAACATAAGGTTTAGAAAACAAAGAATGCCACTTGTTTCCATAAGACAAGTCGTAAGCCCAAAACAAAACTTACATTTACATCTCTCGTCCGTTAACTGAGAAATGGACCTAACCTTCACAGTTCATAGACGTATCACCATTCTTTTGCCAAAAGATAAGTACAGGAATAGTGGACAACAAATGCAGGTAATTTTTGTTTGGTTTTTAAACTGACAAATGTATAAAAAGTGGTTTTGCAATCTTCCATTTAACACTTAACAGCGTTTGGTAAGTGAAAGGACAAGTCTTAGTTAAATTATCTGTTGAAGTGGCCTAACAATCGGCATAATTTACCCTCATTTTACCCACGAAAGCAGCAGTGATCAGCAACCCCATGACAGCCCGAGAACTGGGTTGGGGTTGGGGACGGTCACACCCCTTTAATTCCAGGAGCCGAGTGCCAGGCTAAGTTACAGCCGACTGGTCGGGACTGGATGATTGAGCGCTGGCGTACCGGGGGCAGACACGGCTTGCGGCGCTGACAGACTCGCGGCGCGGCGGTTGAACTGAGGTCAAGCCCTGTAATTCCCGTTTCTCGGTGTGTGCGAATGCCTGCCTCGCCGAACGTTATTTTTTCTTCTTTCCTTCCATCTTTTTCCTCAGGGGGCGTGCGTGCGTGCGACGGCCGCGCGGTGATACGAGACGTCTCCCAGGCTCAGATTCTGAAAGCGCCCCGTCTTCGCCGCTCCTCGCTGCTTTATCCCTTCAGCTCGAGATATATTCCCGTGCATTGATCCATCAAAGATGACACTAATGACACTTTTGTTGATAAGTATTCAGTGAAGGCATACCAAATTCCTTGCTCCAACATCGTTAGACCGTGAATCCCCATCTCAATGAGTACTTTTATTTAACCAACATCACATATTTTAAAATTTCTTGTCAAATTTTACGCAAACAAATATTCACTTGATAGAAATTTTACACAATAATTCCACAATTTTAAATGTTACTTATTTAAACAAAGAAAGGTCCGAGATAGCACGCACCTTTATGACATAGCTTCAGAAAAAGATTTCATGACGATTCTTTGCAAATTATTGAAAACATACAAAGAGACAACGATACGTGATTAAACAGTCCCAACTCAACCGCTCATATCTTTCACTTTCTGATATTTCTCCCGAAGACGAAATGACGAAACGAGTGCCGAATGGAAAGTTTCATAGCCTACTGATAATGATCACGCTGTCCACAGAGTCCCTTTAACACGCTCAGCTTGGTGCGTGCTTGACGTAGCTGGGGAAGCGTGCAGTGCGTCGACTGTGATAAAAAAGATTAAAGGGAACCTCGGGGCGCTTCTGATTGAAGCAACTCCAGCAAAATATTTATACGGTTGAGGCAGAGAACTCCCTTATTTGTATCCATTCAGATCGTAAGCACGGAGATGTATGTTACAAGTTAAGTTCCATCGTGGTAATGCCAAGCTCCAGCACGTACAACCATTAATGTCAAGCGATGTAAGAACATAGCTACGTGAGCCTTCAGGTGCCGACAACCCGGCATCACTTATCACACTTTAGGATTTCAGAAGCCACGTCACTTACGTGTGTTACTTGTTTGAGTGTACACGACCTACCATAGACGTCAGGTTCATGGCCGTAAGCTTACGGGTACCATATTTAAGTGATAAAACTATGACACCGCGCATGTATGATTGAAGTTAACAGGATTAACATGCTACACCTTTGCTTTCTACAGCAAACCAGCCTACTGGCTCAATATCATTGTTAGACACTGTAAGACAAGACCTCGAAATATTTTCCACAGAGTGGTTTGCTGGGGAAGGTGGATCAAGATCGACGAAATCAGACTGAATTTGTGATAATGAATTTCTGATGATGAAACCAAATCGCTCAATCGTCACGACCCCGGACCACATTCTGGCGATGCGTTCTGACTGTCACACAAATCGAAAAACCGCCGTGCATTCCTAATGCAATCTCCTGACAGCAGCTCCGATCTCCAGTCCACACCAGTCGGTGCCCAGCTTGCACCAGTGATAGGTTTGAATACACAGAACTGAGCATGCGTGGCTGAAAACGCGCCAGCGACACGTATAAAATTTAATACGCCACAAACACGAAGCACATCCAACTCCACTTCGTTCCCAGACACGGCAAGACAAAATGGACCAAGGGGGCGGGCCCCTTTAACCTAGCATCTAAGCCCGGCCGGTCGCACCGCCGCTGAGCGAGCTAGCGCCGCACGACGGGCCTGATAAGCACATCACGATCGTCATCGATCTTGTAGTGGCGGATTAAGGCCCCGGCGAGGGTGTGAAGCGAGCGTGTCGAGGCGGCGAGGTCTGCGCGCGGTGGGGGTAAAACGCAGAGGGTAAACATGCTCTATACCCACGACCAGCCTCTCCCCGTCTTCCGACCTGCCACTGCCACACCGGTTGTTTTGCTCAAGGACTTGCCATATTCGTTCTCGCCATGCACCCTGAATATATATTGTAATCTACTGCAAATTTTTGGGTCCAAACCAAAATTTTCCTTTACCCGCGGTAACAATTTGCATCGGATGTCACTGACTGCAAGTAAAGATTTCGCGACCGAAATCCAGGTGCAAAGAAAGAAAATTGGGCTGTTAACTCAATTAATCGGTAATATGCTTGTATTTGGATTTGCCAAAAAAAGTGTCACGTTTGATGAAGGCGTGGTTGCCGCGAGGATGCAATAGGTAAATTGTGTCTGTTATTGGAATCATTTCCGAATATTTTTCGTCGCGCTAATTAATCGATACCGTCACAGAAGGTAATAAAAAAAGACAAAATCTTTCCACGTTGACTATAGTGCAAAGATGAGAACCGGCACTGCACCTTTAAGCAGCTCTGTCTGATACCCCCCCCCACAGCCGTGCACAGCCCTCGAATGAGACAATAAAAGCGGGCTGCGACAGAGAGAGAGAGAAAAGGCAAACTTAACCGCTGTAATCGATTTCAGTCGCTGATCGCGAATATGGGAGGTTGAAGTTCAACACCGCGCAAACAACACGTGCCAAACAAAGACGCGCTGATAGCGCCGAACCGCGTAGGTCGGTATTAAATACCAGCCTACCCCATTGTGGTTTGGGGTGAGCGATTTGAATTTCCAATATGCTGTAAATCTCTCTGGCCGGTAAACACCGCTCAACTGAACTGTAATTTTTGAGTGAGACTGCATTAGTCAATCGAAACTATCCTTTTTTTTGTTTCTGTCGTGTTGCGTTGGGATATTTCTATATCCATACGAAAACAACTTCCATAGTGCCCAGGCAAGAATGACAGCATTTGACCAAAATAGACGTACGCCGAACGGAAACGACAGAGAATGGGAAATTTCCTCTCAAGAGTGATTTGAAAACGATTAACTGCGGGGTCCAATTCGAAACAAGGGATGTGTTAATTTACACATTCCGCGGCGCGACTGTGTTCCCGGCCCATTCACGGGCAAGAAAAGTTCAAAACGGCGTCATCAAACTACTCCTGGTGGAAGATACCCCCACCAGACGTCGTTATTCTGAAGGGTGCAGAAACGAGAAAGGAAAAAGAGAGACGTGATATCGAGGCGTTTCCTGGGCTTCGGGGAAGTGGAAAGGCTTTTGTTTAGTTATAGCCGCCGAATTGCGCGCTGTAGACACGCATGAAGCGTTATTATTAACCGAGGCAACTCATAGCTAGCTCTCTCACCGCAAACAGGCCGAGTTTCAACCCTGGTCCAAACAACACGCACATGAAGGCCCCGGCTAATGATTAATTCATCCCCCTTGATGCTTCAGGCTTTCACACTCTGTCGGGCCCATAGCTGACTGACTCGGCATGGGTAAAAAAAGGAGTCCGACAGAGCGGTGCGCTGTTTTGTTCGAACAACTTTTTTCATCTTAGTAAGAGAGAAGGATTTTCGTGTCAGTAGGACGACGACTGTTTGATGCGTGTCTTGCAGTTACAGTGAGTTCCCGTCAGACGCGACGAGTTGTGTTTACACGACGTTCCGACTTGAATAATCTAAAACACGAAGTTTACAATTATTTGTGTAAATACTCTTGTTCTCTACTCCGGGTTGTTCCGACACGATAAGGCATTCGTTCCAGTGGATTGTCAATTTACATTTGATTCATAGGCTTAAAATAAAAGCCCGCAGTGGTAATTGGCACGCCCGCCCCCCAGTCCTAGTGTAAAACCACGATATGCAAAGTCTCGATGATCAATTCAAAGATCTGCACATTTTTAGAATACCCGTTAATCAGTTCCTTATCGACTGCAGTTATTTTGACTTAAAATTGACGCACTTTGGGGTTCACAGGTCTGACCCAGGTTTGGGTCTGACGGAGATGACACCGTGGTTGTTGTATTTAGGCCTATCAACAAATCCGGCTAACCTCGGTAAGGTTCAGTGTGTCACGCCATGGAAGCCCGCGTCAGTGAAGACGTACCACGTGAAAGTGAAGTTTGTTGGTGTCGCTAACCGCTGGCCCGATTTAGCAAACTGTACGTGCCGAGATTGGCCGCAGCATTCAAGGACAGATTGAAAAGAACTTCTTACAGGGTATACGAGTCCTTGAAATGGTACAAGCGATTCTCTGATGATAGACTTGTCACGTTAACGTAACAGGTGAAGTTCCACTGGAACCAGCTTTGCGTGACGTTATCATAATAAGCTTTGTTTTTTATAAAACCATGTTGCAAAGGTTTGGAAAGAGGCCCGACATAGAATGCGCTCGGATGGAATTTGTTGGAGGGGGTTTTTCGAAGAAAATTTACTAATTAGCAATAATAAACAGGAGCCTGAGGCGGCAGCAAGTTTGAAAGACTTCCCCGCAATACAAAATACACGGCCTGTCAAGCTATACACACCTTGGATATCGAACAATGTTCCTAAGCAAGGCAATGTATCGCAATTAAATAAATCCATCAACCTGATTTTCAGCCTACCCTTGGAAAATGCACCGAGTCCGAGTCTTACAGTGTGCATCCCTAGGCAGTGGTGTCGAATCGGAATATTGCGAATCACTAATTAAAATTTCAGTGATTTCCCCCCTCTCTACCTCCCTATTACCTACGATTCGTGACTGCCCTGTGCGCTGATATTAGCCTGAGGACTCCACAAAATGATGGTACGCGGTCCACGCGTGACAGTACCGGTAACAGATCTAGATAACATTCACAAGACCAGGCCAAAATAACCGGCCTTCAAGTCCAAGTCGTAAACACAGGGCAGCGAAGCTTCTTGTCTGCTTTCTCTTGGCCACGATGCAAGGAGGCCCGCTCACTCCCTATCAACTCTGTTCTTTTCCTTGTCCGCCTATTCCAGACCTCCCCCCCCCCTTTTACGCCCAAGTCGTCGGATGTCGCGTCATTTTATTTGCGACGAGAATGGGAAAAGCATTGCCTCGGGACGTGGTCTATGTGGGTGCCGCAGCGCACAGCAGCTGCTCCAGAATAAATGAATATCCCACATTAGAACTCAAAAAGAAAGTGGGGAAAAAAGTTCTTTGTCTGAGCGGCATTTCTTTGCCAGGCCTCCTCGTTCATGTTTCAAGTGCGCACACACACAACCGAAAGCGCGCACAGTGCGAGGTTGGGCGGTCGTCGGGCATGCATCAGACGCGGCTAGATTTTTTTTTTGAGTAATGATTTCCAGGCTATAGCGAATCCAGACTTCACGACCGGGACCCTCTGGGACGTGGGAAGGGGGGGAGGGAGACACGGAAGCTACGTCACTTGAAAGATTATTGACAATTGCAACGGCTTTTAAGCCCACGAAGGACTGCAGGGAATTCTGCGCGGCAGCACGGTCGAAGCGTAGGAAATATCTGATCAAGAAACCACGTTCCTTAGTTGAGGTGGGTGTCCAGGCGCAGACGCTGAAGTTTTGCGGTTGAGCCCCAACTTAAAATAGTTCCGGAAATGTACGTTTTTCTTTTCGTTGTGCTAGGTTTGTAGTCTCTACATAATTAAGGTCAGGTGGCATCCCGCGGCGCGTCACCGCCCTCGAGCTACTTCGACACTGGAGAAAGTTAACAAAATCGTTAATTCTCAGTTTCTGGTTTTTTTTTCTTTCAGAAGAGCCGTCCTTATTTGTATTCGAAGGTAGACTCACTCCTAGCTTGTTTTTCAAGGGCAGAAACAGAATAGCCATATGCCGCACCAGGACACACTCACACTGTATCAGACACAGCGCGAGCCCCTTGAAGCGATTATCGCGATTACCCCCGCAACGGTCATCCCGGTCACCGGCTCCATCAATCCAGAGCCGCGTATCCCGACACACGCACACCGCGGAATGCGCCGACTGCTCGCCGACCCACTAGATCCGATTTTAAAGGGGCACGCAACTACAACGGGGTGGGAGAAAATCGTTCACAAACCAATTAACCTGACCAGCTATAGATCAGTTTTTTGGCGACGAATCTTTCCACTTTTCGCTTGGCTTACCACCGTCTGCCATTTTCTGTTTGACTTAACAATGCCCCCAAAAGAAATACATCCTCAAAGAAATTGTTTTCAAATCACGTACAACTTGTGGGAGGCAATGCATTCCCGGTTCCAGTTTCCTGATTTTAAATAGTCGTTTCTGGCAAAAGGATATTATGCTGGCTCGACACCCACGCGATCCCGTCTGCTATAGGGTATATCCATCAGGGTCATTCTAGCGCCTACGACTACCCGACTTGTAGGAGCATTTTTTCTTCAGTCAACACTCCCGCCACCGTCCCCTTGAGGGGCGGTGCCCTACAAATACTCGGAGCTTTGAGTGTCGATGCTGGCAACCCAGCAAACTGCTTATCATTTTGCTGTTGTTTAAAGCATGAAAATTTTGGTTTGCATTGTTTCGAGGTAAAAAGATAAAGTTTCAACTGGAAGGTGGAACGTTCTTGTTTTATGAATTTTGAATTCGCCGTGTTGGTTATTGTTTCATTAGGCGTATTCAAGAGAAGTTGGTCTTTTTGACTTTTTATGATGGTAGTTAGTGCACAAACCTCTGAGCCAAATGGATCAAATCATTCTACATTAACAGCTATCTATATTTAACGACACGGACTATATTTACATAGGGTGTCGAAGCTAATAAAGTACGCATGCTAATTTTCTTTTTATCTAAAATGTCCCTTCGTGACAAAGGTAAAACTCATACTGGTTTAAATACGGGTATCTTACCGTCACCAAAAATAAGAGGTATATACTTTCACCTACACATGTATGTAGTTTTGAATTTGTAAAAAGGTCGAACAGGGATGAATATCCATTGTGACTGACACCCACCGGAAGGCCAGACAGTTGAAAAAGGAAAGACTAGAACCAGCTATAGAATCCAAATCCCATCTGGGAGGTTTCTGGTATAGCGATACTGCCATTCCAAATACTCCAAACGCCGTCCTCAACACAACTGCTCTTCGTTTAACATCATTGAAAAGTCAGCTGAGTATCTGCGCTGGTACAATTTCCAGATATTTTCAGGCTCTTTAATTGCCTTGAATGCCGCCAGGCGAGGCGTCTGTTTCCTGCGACGAATGACTTGAACGGCATAGGCCTTCTGAGCCATGTAAGTTGAATGTAACTTATACCCGAAAATCAAAACGATCGAGATCCCATTTGTGTTGAAACGTGGCAATATTTCGTTGATTTACCGAAGCTTAAGGCCATAATTAAAGTGACAGTCCCCAGAGGAAAAAAAACATGTCTTACCTGATTTTCTTGATGTCAGTTCCGACGTGTCAACTCGACCTTCAGTTCAAGTGGATATCCGGTGTTGTATAGTTTTTATGGCCCGGCGTTCTCTGTCCAGCTTTCGATACTGAAGCAACAATGACACCGTCACGGAAAATGCGAACGTGGTTGAACTCAATGCGGTACCAAAACAAGAGAGTTGCGTCTGGGAATCCAGTAACAAATCGGAAATCAGGAACGGATTTCCCTCTCTGCTTGGGAGAGCTGTGTAAGAAAGTCAAATGGGTTTGAAATTTACAGGTTTGTGCCCGGACTATGCGTTCCCGGTTGCTGCAACGACAAAGCACCGTCAGGCTGGTGGTTCGCGACAAACGTGGACCACGACGCGGTGTCGACTGCAAACAAACCGCTGATTACGTCGCTGCGCGGTCCACACTGGTCATGATGCCTCCCTCACACCAGTAAGAAATTCCAGGAGGTGGAACGCAGGGAAAACATCCAGCAGGCCAGACGGCCATCCTCGAATGACACTGTCAGGGAAGCCGATCGTATCAGACAGACCGCGTACTTCACCAGTAGTCAGTCCATTTGGTTTGGAGCCGCCGCAGTGGCACTACGACCCTAGCACGTTGATAAGATAAACCTATGGTCTAAATGTGCCAAACGGCTACCGCTATATTCAGCGCCAGTTCCACGCGCACAGCTTGCTATGAGCACGCTATGCGTTGGCAAGCTTGGATATTCTCGCGAAGACTCGACGACAGCTGAATCGGGTGGTCCGTTTTAAGAGGCCGTATCTCCAGTGTCCTACAGTGCACGACAATGAATTTTTCCACAAATAAACTGTGACATATAGAGTACAAATCCTCCAAATCTTGAAAAGTTTAAACATCCCGAAAGGTTTTATCTGTGTCCATAAATGACGCACTCGGATATTTTTGAGCGCGTACTGCGAGAAACTGTTCATCCAGCAGCTCAGCGTACACGTACACTGGGTTAAAAAAAAGGGTCCCTTTTTTTAACAGGGCGCCACAGGAATTCTGTCCAAGGCAGTTTCAAAATTCTTTCGGGATACAAATCTTGAAGAACGTAGCTACCTGGGGACGTCTCCAAATCCGATGCCGTTCGCTGGGGAGGGGAGTTATGACGTCAGATATTACGCACTTTTGTCTGGATCCTCCGCCGCTCCGATATGTTGGTGCCAGAGTCGCTATTGAAATGAGAGCGAGGTTCGTGAACTGAGAGGCAGCGCTATTATGTAGCACGTCCCGCGATTGGCCCGGTCCCAAAAGTGGTCCATCAATAGTGATTAGGCGCGTGTGTACTCTTGCGGAACTACCGGATCGTGCAGACGTGCCGGGTCGCGACCATTACAAGACAGGGGTGTCCGAGGTGATGGTGCCCTCGTGTGGAGAGGAAGCTTTTTCGCAGAAAAATAATTCGCTGTAGAGATTTTTTTCTTGCACGTTTCAACAAACGTCTCCACGTGGTTTCAGCGGAAATATATCCGGGGGGGGGGAGTCTGCTGCATTGTGTTCAGTAGTAACGAGGAAAAGTTTATGAAAAAGAAACCTCACTTTTATTCATGAAATCGATTGGAAATCATGCCTAAAAATTGCAAAGATGGTGAAATGAAAGGACTACCACTGCAAGACTGTACAGAGACATGCATGCCGGGAAAAAAATCAAATGCTCGTATTTTTATCAGTTGGTGATTCATAAGTTACGACAAAAACATGAAGACTTTTAATAGGTCAAAGAGCGAGCTGCATGGAGACTGGCTGGCCGGCACTGCTCTCAATATCCATCCCCGCGCACAATCGACATCAGTGGTGATTAGAAAGCCACCTGGCACGACAAATGGTACCGTCCCTGGATCGCCGGCCTGTAATAATGCCGCGACACGCATCCGCCCGGCGGAGCTTGCCAGAGAAATAAAATGTGTCCCCTTTGTGACGCGCCTCGGCTTTCATGGGCACGTAGGGGCCCCGGCGTTTTGTTATAGCGGTGACTAGTCGATATCGCAGGCAAACACAATGAGCGGAGTCCTCTGTGTTCTGCAAAGCACGTTCTATTGACCGCGTATTGAACTCGCGCCGCGCTCGGCCGATAGCCACTTCAGCAAGCCGTAAACCCGTGATCTGGGAGTGTTTTTCTTTTACGGCGGCTTTTTTTTTGTCGATGTGTGGGGCACAGCGCGGAGTGTGAATCCATTGCCAGGCAGGCCGCATATGGAATATGTAATCACGTCGGCCGTGCCAGACACAAAACATGAGAGGAGGTGGTTAGGGAATGGTTGGGACTGGGATAGGGGAACGGTTAAGGCTGGCGGGAATGGTGGAAGAATACTGGGCATTTTATTCGTTCGTCTCTCGCCCCACGGGAACGGAGTGCCCTGGTCTTGATGCTTTCTGTACCGGTAGCGATTGCACTAGGGCACTCGGGGCGCATTTCCCAATCATGATTAACGGACTGCACCACATCCTGACTCCACCGGTCATTTTTATCACCATGCCATCACGTACAGTCAGAGGGCATTAAAGGGGCTCTGCAGAAAAAAAAAGCGTTCGGAATCTCCTCTCGTTTAAAACAGTAACTCTACTGAGCGAGGCGTCATGTTTGTGTTCCTCCAGCGCTGCATCACGCCATGTAAAACAATGCACCATTTTTGCACTCTCATCTTGATCAGGAAATCCACAAAGATTACATCTCTGGCGTGAAGGAAGTGATACGGGAGAAGCAATGTACACAAATAGTCGGGTATAATTTGATATTGACGGCCAGAGAACCTTTAAAACCGAAATTCGCGAACTGGGGTAATGGTGAAACCCACATTAAGCCGTTAAAGAGAAACCCACTGGGAGCGCTGGACAAGTCAACCGCAAATAACTCTCATGCGACCAGCGCGCTACTTTCCTGTAAACCGGTTTTTGTTTTGTTCATGATACGACCGGGGCGCGGGCTCCTCTTTTCTAATCTCTAGTCCCTGCTTGGATGGCTTCTATTTTTCACGGACGTTGATGAGGAGGCGTGAATGTGACGGGACGGGTGACCAGGGAGCCCCTGTGGCAAAGTTCCCGGTCATGCGTGTCGCACAAAAGGCAAGGGGGAGGCTACTGCGCTCAGAGACACCCCAAAACCTCAGGTCCAGCATCCGAGACCCGATTCCTGCGAAACCAGTGTGGGGCAAGTGTCGCGACGGTGCGGTCGTTTTTTTTCCCGGGTGGTGGTGTGGGGGGGGAGGCGTCTCGTCTTTTCACCGAGGCCAGCCGCCCCGGGGGAATTTGGCGAGGCGGCCCCCGTCTCTTGATCAGCCAGTCCCTGGGTACCAAACGGCTTGATCGCGGGCCTGGTAACTCGAGTCTGCCTGATCAATTTGTAAACGAGGTTTCGGACCGGCGGGCCTCCGCCACTGAGGAGCAGGGAAAGCCGAGCCTCCAAGGCACGAATTAACGCAAAGCGCGTAATCTTCTCTTTCCCTAACTGTTGGCACGGCGTGCATACAGCGTTTTTTCCCTCCCGTCACTTTCTCTCTTAGTACGTTGAATTTTCCATTTTCAGTCGGGCTTCTTTTTAACCAGCGCGGCCAACGTCGCGGCATATCACATAGCATCCCTTGAAATTCAGCCCTCGAGCGATCTTTTTTCCTTCTCTTACGAGAAAGGTATGCAATCCTGCTTTCGACCATAGACCAACCAGGACCCCGGGCCGCCAGACGAGCGCGCGGCCCCGCTGCTGCTGTTTATCGATTGTAGCACTTCAGCGCAATCACTCCTCGGTCGGCCCGGGCCGGCTGGCTGGCTGACCGAGGCACCCGATAGATGGATGGATGGATGAATTGGACAGGGGAGGCTGGCTCGCCAGGCATGCACGGCTCGGCTCAGCTCGGCGGTAGCAATGACACTTGCACGATAGCGTGGAGCGGCAATGTGGCGAACATAACTGTCCTCAATCGGTACGGCACGCTCATCACTTCCGCTACCGCCCCCGGCAGTAATAAATTTGCGGTCGTTATGGTATGAGGCCGAGGGAGCGTGCGTGCGTGCCGTCTGCATGAGAACAGAGCCCCGTTTTTTTCCCTTTCTCCCTGCGCTCAGCGAGCGGCTCGATATTAATAATAGAGGCCGTAAGGTATCGGGTGGTTCTGCCATACTATATACTTCAGTTTTAAAAACCTCGAGCCTGCTGAGAGGAGGGACCCACATCTGCGCAAGAAGCGTCGAATAACCTTGCCTGATAAAAATGCCGAGATAAAAAAAAAAGCCATACCGGACGGTAATCGATCTAGTCTCGCTGCGCTAGGTTAGATAACATCTCGCCCCGTTGCAAGATGATAACGTTTCAATGTCTGCGGCCGGACACTGCAATAATTATGGAGGGGACCAGCCTCGCACGAACCTTGCTTTACTTAAGTGCTGGATTTTCCCTGAAACAGAACACGCAGACGCGAACTAATATCTGCAACTCTCCACTAACAATTCATCTACGTATACCGTGTACATATGTGATCCATTGCTTAAAGATAGGATCTTTATTCAGAGTTACCACGGTTGGGTCAATTGTGGAGACAACTGGAACTTGCTAACGGTGCACGGCATGAGAGTCGATCATCGTTCCTCTATTAAATGCCACGAAACAACGAATATGGCGGGCCTCGTAAACCGAGGGTAAAAACAGGAGGACTGCAATAATGCATATAGAAGCTCGCAAAAATGTTCTCAAGAACGTATTAATTTGAAATGAATTGCCCTCGAGGCCAGCTTGCTCCCGAGGCTTAGTGCTATTGCGAAGTTATTCTGTCTCTGAGTTTTCCCTTCATTATAGTTGATTATGTCTAGATTCGGCACAGCCATAAACAAAGGCATGTTTCATTTTTGTTTGATGTCTTCAGTTTTCCCGCGGCAATGGACAGTATCGTGTTGTGACTGGACTTAGAGTCAACTGATCATGTCAGAGTAGATCATTGATCGGATCAGCGCAAAGTCTATGCAAGCCCTTCACGCGATTTGAGTCAGTGAAAGGCTGCATACGTAGACGTTGATACACTCTCTGGTTCGCAGAGATTTGGTCCAAAAAGCAGGAATAATGGATACACGAATCTAACACATTCATGGCGCATGAGGTAGCAATTTCTCTGTTCACGAAATTCCAGAGACAAGACGATAGACCTGGAATACACGCCAATCCGAACACCAGGTCGCCATGCACAGAGAAAGCCCCCAGGAATGGAGGCCGTAATTAGGGGGGTCTTACAGAGGCACACTGACCTCGCATAAGGACCAGTATATAATTACAAGTGATGTTATCATAAATTTCCCTTTTGTTGCCCTGTAGTGCATCGCCTTTCGAGTGCTCTACACAAGTGACTAGATTTTGTGAAGGGATTTCTCAGTCCAAATCATGGGGGGGGGCTGTTGCTCAAACTGTAATGTGTTTTTTCAATCCTCATGATCACGCCACAGTGTTTGTTTACTCTTACCACAACTTTGACGTGGCGTCCGTGACCTACTTAGGACACTGAAGAACTGACCACGTCACTGAACTATTGGTGTGAGGTGCTTGACCCAGTTCGGAATTGGGCATGCAGACAATGTCGATTCTCACCGGTTGCTGCGACTGTTGTCTAATAGCTCAAACACCATAACAAAAACAGAGTTATGGAGATCTTTAGGTACCATCTACGAGTTTGGGATCGCGAGATAATTTATCGCGGGATGTCGACATTTCGCATGTGAGACAATTAATCACAAGATGGCGGCATCCTCAAACTAGTCCTGAGATAAAACTCTGATAGAACCGCCTGAGCTTAGTGCAAAGGCGTTAGGCAGAAGCGTATAATTCATTACCTTTTACTCTCTGCCATCGTTTTTTCTTAATAAAAGAGCGATTGTTTATCTTGCAGCGGAAAACTGATTCCGAAGGTGTGGGAAACATCAACTATGCACTGCCGGCATTGGGAACCATCCAGCTACGCGCCGCGTTGATTAATCGTGTTTGCCATATACCTTGTCGCGCAACCGGCCAGGTTTCGGCCGAAACGAGGCTCGCCATCAACGCCTGCATAAATGCTTGAATTCTGCGTATTGATTAATACCGCAAACCTTGCCACGATCCTTTCTGTCTCCGCACGCGGCCGTTGGGGAAAAAACCTCGTACGTGCGCGGAATCGGCAAAGGCGAATCCAGCCGGCATTTGTTGCCTCTGGTTACGTCAGGCAACCGCTGGAGTGGCCCAAACATCGTTGCAATGCGGGACTCGGGGCCAACCGACGAAGTTTTTCACGTTCGG